AATAGCAGCTATCACTATGAAAATGTTATAATAAAAAATAGAAAACTTAATAGGAAAGTACAGTATAGTAGTAAATAAAAAACATGACTCAGGTCTAAAAGCTTTAGTTTAAATCACTGTTTAGTCACACGCTATAGCTAACTCTGTGACTCTAGGCAAGTTATCCTGACTTTGTGCTTCAGAGCCTCAAATGGAGGTAAAATGTTTACCTAATAGAACTCGGTAGTAATAGAAAACTTATCAATGAATACAAATGGTAGGTGGTAGTGGCAGTAACAATGATAGTGATAACAGTAACAGTAGCAATAGAAATGTAACCTATTTGTGTTTAATCAACCAATATTTAAGGAAGAAGGAAAGGACTAGGCTCTAAAAAAATGTGCCACATTCAATCCTTTTATACAGAAAGAAACAAGTATAATTCTTCCTATTATACTAATAAGGAAATCAGTTAGTGGCAAAATTAAGATTTGAACACTGGTATATGTGGACTCAAAACTTACTTTCTTTTCACCACACAATATACTATCTTCAGAGGAGTACTTAGCATTAGCAGCAGGAGCACAAATTTAGGCATTCTATCCTTTACTATTAAACTCACAAAATCTGGGTACATAATTAAATGTCTGCCTTTCAATTTTATCTTCTGAAAAATTGAGTTTGATTAGATCTTGAGATTTCTCTTCAGCAAAGAAGTTCATGATTTTATAAAAGTGCCACATTTAGTGATATGTAAACTCACAAAACATTTTAAAACGGCAGAAAATCTTTTCTGTTTAAAAACAAAAACAGAAAACTTGAACATAAAAAAAGATTTTTCTTCACATTATCAAAGGAAAGACTAATATTTAATTTTATTAGCAAGTATGATTAAGCAAATGTTTGAGAACAAAACATAAATCTTAAGTATTTCAAGATGTCAATTTTAACACCTACACTTTCAATAATGAAAAAAGAAAACTCAGAATCCTGATACACCTATAGAATTATAATCAAATAAAATACAGATTTACTGAATTTTATTTCATGCTGAAACTGCAACCAGGATATTTTTGTTTTAAATATCAGCATGAAAACTTGATATTAAAACCCGCCTTAAAACCTGCCACTGGTTTCCTATTATCCTTCAGTGACATCCAAAATCTTTAACATGACTCAACAAAGTCATGTGATTTGGCTCCTCTTTTTGGTGCTATCCAATGCTATTCTTCCCCTTGCTCTTTTTTCAACTTCATCCAATACACATTTTCTTTCACTCTAGGCCGCAGTGTTTCCCAAAGTGTGGTATGCGTACCCCCAGGGGTTCAGGAAGAGTTTGGTGGGGGTACGCGGCGTTGCACTGGAGTTTGGTGGGGATATGCACTGCACCGTGCTTAGCTGCGCCTAATTCTACGTTCTCATGATAACGAGGGGTACTTAGCGTTACGAAAATTATAGAAGAGGTACACATATGTCAAACGTTTGGGAAACACTGCTCTAGGGCTTCAGCCTAACTGCTCTCTAAAACCTAGAATGCTCTTATAGATCTCCATTCCCATCCTTTTGATCCAAACTGCCTTTCATTCTTGAAGGCTGAGATCAAATGTTATCATTACAGGAAAGCCTTTTCTGATCCTCCAGACATATATTTTGACAACATTCTGGACTTCACAACACTTGTAATTACTTGTTCAACACTTGTCTTCTCTGTTAACTGGTATACAATATGAAGATGGTCATTTCACATCTTGTTTCCTACTATTTTCCCAATATCTAACACATTGTTTAGCACAGAGAGGAGATTAAATAATAAATGTATCCTGGATGAATACACTTAAAATGGGAGGCAAAGTCCAAAACCATGAGATGCCTTAGCTAAAAAGTTCTATACAAATTTGAGTTACATCTTACACTTAGCTCTTCTTCAGATGTTCCTCCCTCAAACAGATGTCATTTAGCAATTATACAACTTTAAAGCAAAAAATACTTCCAGATCATGAACCTATTCTAGTTTCACAAAACCAAGGTTGGAAAACACAGGTCTTAAATAATTGAAGCTTTAAAAGCTCATCATCTAAAAGAATTCACCTGAAATACAATTAAAGGGACAGAAACTTAGATAAGGACTTAATTTTACCACACCGATGTACATTGTCGAAGGACCAATCCCAATTCCTACTACTGCAATGCCTTATTTATTCCAAAAGTGACGACTGCAGTGCTAGTCATCTGAGTAGGCTACATGATACCTGGAATACGCTTTGTTAAAACTAAAGAAAAATTATAGCCCTGGCTGGATTGGCTCCGTGGACAGAGCGTGGGACTGTGGAATGAAGAGTCCCAGGTTCAATTCCCGTAAAGGGCACATTCCCACTAGGGGGCGTGCAGGAGGCAGCCGATCAATTATTCTCTCTCATCATTAATGTTTCTATCTCTCCCTTTTCTCTCTGAAATCAATAAAAATATATTTCTTAAAAAAACTATAAGCATTAAAAATTAAGTAACTATAACTAATTTTAGCTTAATGGGAGAAAAGGGGAAATGGCAGTAAAGTTGTTAAGTAATTCAAAAACTGAAGGCTTAAAAAGAATACTATTTTGACTCATAACATTTTTTAAAGTTTTCTGTTCACCTAAAACGGTGTTAATTATAAACAAGGCAGCATTCAAAGATTTGCCTAACACATAATCATTATTTTCTCCAATTTAGAAATGAAGAAACAGAGGCACTGAGTTGAGCAACTTACTCAATGTTATACAGCTGGTAAGTGCCAGAGGCAGAACTCAAATGCAGCTATTCTAGCTCCACAGTTCTCCCTCTCAACCACTATACAACAGTGATGCTCACTCTCCTTCCAAATCCCTGAAATAGAGCTTCAATCTGTACCACCCCACACCAGTAAAACTAATTTTCCTAAGGTCAACCAATGAAGTCTACCTTGCCAAATCAAAGGGTCACATATCTGCTGCTATCTTTTTCACCCATTCTGCAGCATCCCATCAAGTTCACAACTTGCCTCTTGTTATATATTCCTTTAGTGACATATATCCCATTTTCTTCCTACCACAGACCTGGGTTCTCTTCTCTTGCATATCTAACCATTTTTCTAGGAAGTCTCCCACAATCCCATGGCTTTAAATATCATCTACGTGACTCCAAATTTCTCTAGTCCTGGCCTAAGCTCTAGAGTCATATACCCAACTATCGGTACCTATTTGACATCTCACTTGGATGTAACCAACCATCTTACCCTCCTTCCCTCAACCTTTTTTCTCCCAGCCTAGACCATCACCCATCCAGTTGCTTAGGCTAACTTCTTAGTCATCATCCTGACTTTCCTTTCCCACTTCTCCCACATAAAATCCATCAGCAAGTCCTATCAAATCCACTTATAAAATATATTTAGTTCTGTCTCCATTATCACTTTAATGCAAATTACCTACATCTTTGCCTACAATGCCTTTCACAATGGTCTCCTTGCTTCCATGTTTGCCCCCTTAATCTCTACAAAGCAGCCTAAATTAAAACAAAATCAAATCAGTCTTTTGCTTGCTTTAAATCGTCTAACATATTCCATAGTAATTTAAATAAAATCCTAGCTCTTGAACATGTCCTCAAAGATGCTACATGACTTGGCCCCTATTTCTACACCTTCATGTCCTTCCATTCTCTCCCCTGCCACAAGGTTCCTAGGAGCCACAACTACCTTCTTTCTCCTCCTGGAACACACCATGATCATTTCTGCTACAGAGCCATTGCACTTGCTGTTCCTCCCACAGAAACATACTTTTTCAGACTTTCACACAGATGGTTCCTTCTTCCAAGGTGTTGCTCAAATGTCACCTCCCCTGAGAAGCCTTCTAATCAGTCTTTTACAAGATCCTCTATTATTAACAACCGTGGCCATTCTTATTATTACCTGAAGTTACCTTATTTGCTTACTATGCCTTGTCAACTTTGGAATTTGAAAGCTCCATTCCCCAACGCTTCCCATAGTGCCTACCAAGTAGGTGCTTAATAAATTTATTGAATGAGTGAACGTTCCCCAGTGCACTTTAAGTTTATTATAAATCAACCAATTTTTATAAAGCACGTGGCCCGTCATATATGTTTTTTTATGTCGTCAAAGACAAATCCTTAAAAACACTCCTTAATTTTTCCACTCCAAAGCGTTGCAGCACTCTTGAGTCCCCTCCCCCCCAAAAAAACACACAGTCCATCTACAACACCCCACTCAAAACTGCTAACTCTTCCAAATGGGCAGACTGCCTTTCCTCCTCCTCCTCCTCTCCAGGAGAACGACCGTGTAGGTGGGAAAGGGGAATTTTACTGAGCGTCTCAGCACCTGTTACATCTTCAGCTAGAAGAGGTGCCCGTGAGCCAGCCGGCACAGGGGAGACGTGGCTTTCCTTTCAGGGATAGATGGCATTTAGGTAAAACCCAGGTGGCTTGGCCTAGAACTGTCCAAATCTTTTATAAGGACCATTCCGTTCGTTTGAATAAGCATGTCTATAGGCGGGATATTATGATCGTATTCACACACACACACACACACACACACACAAAAAAAAAAGAAGAAAGAAAGAAAGAAAAGAAAAGAAAAGAAAAGAAAAGAAAAGAAAAGAAAAGAAAAGAAAAGAAAAGAAAAGAAAAGAAAAAGAATAAGTCGCCGCCGACTCGGGGACCTTCAGGAAACACAGAGTGAGTGAGTGAGTGAGTGAGTGAGTGAGTGAGTGAGTGAGTAGGTTGGGGATCGAGCTGCCTATAACCTGAAGACAAGAACAGGAGACAGCGGTTCAAGGACCAACTCAGCGATACGATGAAGGCTCTCCGGGACATGCAGACCCCGGGGTCGGGGGCAGAAGCTGAGGAGAAACCACAAGAGCCCCGAGCCCTCCCTCCGCTCACCGCTTCGGCCTCCGGCGCAGGCATTTGGGGCAACAGCATGGGTCTGTGCCCGCCAGTCTCCCACCTCCCTCCTCCCTCCCTGCAAGGGGCCGGAGACAGCCCCGGGTACTCACATGGGCTCGAGAGTCTTGCTGAGCCAGGACTTCAGTGCCTCGAAGTTTTCAATGATCATTTTAGAAACCATCCACGGCGGCCCCCGGGCCCGTCACTCTCCTCCGCCCGCCCAGGTCGCGGCCGCTACGGCCGCCGCTGCCCCCGCCCCCTCCTCCGCGCGCCGCCCGCGTGGGCCGCGGTGGGAGGCGCCGGTGGCGGGCTCCCGCGAGCCGGGTCGGCGAACAGCTCCGCGGGGGCCGCCGCAGGCCGCGAGTCCGCGGGGTGCCAGGAGCCTCCCCCCCCTCCCCGGACCCCCGGCCCGGGCTGAGGCAGCAACGGCTAGCCCGAGCCCTCCCCCTTCCCTCCACCCCAGCCAATCTTTCGGAGCCGGGAGCGCGGCACGCGCCTAGACCCGGGCTTCCTCTCGGCCTCGGGACCCGCCGCTGGTCGGAAACGCACAAGAGGCCAAATGAAGAAAGCGAAGGCGGAGAAGCAGTTCAATGTGAGGAACGATTCGGGGGGTCTCCCCGGCTCCCAGCACCCCCAAGAAGATGGCTGCCGGCAACTCTCGCGAGAGTGAAGAAAGTCTCGCGATGACCCGGGGCCTGCTGGGAAGACACGTCGGACTCTCGGAGAGCGAAACCGTATGGAGTGCACTAGTTCGGGCTTTTGCATATTTGCGGCACTTGTGCCCTTTTTTTTTTTTTGCACGTTAGCCCTCTTAAGGAATAAAGATTTTACTTTTTTTTTTTTTTTTTCACTAGAAGGAAAATATCGGTGGTTTCAGGAACAGCAGGAGCCCCAGCTCGTCTTCTGAAACGGCCGTGGCGCGTCGGCTGGAACTGACTCGGGGCCTGGAGCGCCCCCTGAGAGCCTCCCGCCGGGGGGGGGGGGGGGGGGGGGGGGGGGGGGGTGTCCCCTCCGGCCGCGCCGGTGTCTCCTCGGGTTACGGGCGCCCCGCACGGTCACACCCTCCGTGTGCTGCGCTGTGGTTGGGGAAGCGCAGTGTCTTGTCCAAAATGACCCGGCTTGTGGGCAGAGCACTAGTAATCTATAAGGATTCTTCAAATGAAAGGTGAGAAAACCTTGGCAGTTCTCCAATAGTTTCCAACCGTCTGAAACGTTAGGGCTTATCCGTAGCTGACGATAAGAAAAGTGGTTGTGTTTTTTTAATTTTTTTTCATTTAGAGCGATTCAGTCCCCATTGCGTGCGTAGCTTCAAAAGAGAGAGCCTTCATATCAGCATCCCGAATTTTTATAAACGTCCCTTCTCCCTGGGGGGACAAATAAGTTTGGTTTCTGCCTGAGTTGTTTTACTGCTATTTACGTTAATGTGCTAGGTGGAATTTTGCAACAGGTCAAGTGCCCATAAACAATTCACAATATAGACACTTAGAGTAAGTAGACCAATAAAAAGTTATTTATGGCAGTCCCTAAATTGTCGTGAAAAATGCTAAGTTTGTAATTTCCTGGAGTGACATGTCCTAAAGCAGTAAATGGAAAAGATTATCAAGTAAGGAAAGCTAGATATTTGTTTTCAAATACAGCATATAGTATAGGATACAAATTAAAGTCCAGCTACGGAATAACTAGGATGTTTAGTAAAGCAATTTGGCTAAGTGAAGTAAGCCACACATAAAAAAACAAATATTGTATGACTCCTCCTAATGTGAGGTACCACCTAGAGTAGCCAAACTCCTAGAGACAAAAAGAATAGTAGTTGCTAGGTGTGAGAGGGGAGGGGGAGAATTGGGGAGTTATAATTTGGGTTAATGAAAAAGATCTGGAGATAGGCTAGGTTGATGGTTCACAACAATATGAATGTACTTAATGTTGAACTGCACACAAAAATAGTTAAAATGATACATTTTATATGTATATTTTACAGCAATAAAAATATTTTATAAATTTAATGTTACAAGGGAAAAGGTAATATCTTATTTGTTTAATAAAATTGTCATTGGATGAGTCCACCAATGTTTTCAACCTCAACACTGTTCCATAACTCTGGCCATTCATTCCAGATGGCCAAAGCTAATCATTCCACTGCCAAATACTGTATACTTCAGGTAAACAGGTATGTTTATCCTCCACTTTTCCAAATATTTATTCACATCATTTCCACAGGGAATGTTTTTACTTCTTTCTCTGGCAGCTCAAACCTTACACATACTTCTCTCTTAATAACTCTGCTAATGTTTGTTTGAAATCTCTTATTTTCTCTAAACAATAGCAACAACCTTTTAATCTCTCTGCCTCTTAGGTTGCACCCATATCAGTTCATATTCAATTACCTTCATCATCATTGTCTTTTTTTAAAAAATGTTTTTATTTTAGGGAGAGGGAGAGAGCGAGAGAAACATCGTTCATTTGCCTCCTGTATGCAGAGAGAGAGAGAAACATTGTTCATTTGCCTCCTTTATGCATCCTGACCAGGGACACGAACCAACCCCAGCATGTGTCCTGACTGGGAATTGAACTGGTGATCTTTTATTTTATATTTTTATTAAGAGTCCCGATGCACGAAATTCGTGCAAGAGTAGGCCTTCCTCCCCAAGGCTGCTGGTACCGGCTTCCCTCCAGCACCTGGGACCCGGGCTTCCCTCACAGCCCCAGCTTCTCCAGATGGTCTTCTGGATGGACATCTGACTAATTAGCATATTACACTTTTATTATTATAGATTTCGCTTTGTCTTGTACCTTCTTAAATATCTTTAACAATAGGTCCCTCTGCCTGGCCTGCAGGGATTGGGCTGAAACTCATCTCTGGGCCCCAGGTGCAGGTGAAGCAGATTTGGGGCCCACACTGCCCCAGCAGCAACCTAACCTGGGTGGATTCCACAAGGTAATGGGCTCCCTCCTCTACTAGTTGGAGCGTCTGCCTCCTGGTGGTCATTGCATATCATAGCTACCAGTTGGTAAATAGATAGTTTACAATTAAAAATTGGAAATGACTTTGTCGAGTGGTTCAGTTGGTTGGAGCATCATCTTACATTATGGAGTATCAGGTTCCATATCTGGTCAGGCTGCATACGGGAGGCTGAACTGGTGCCCTTTTAATGCATGCATGGAACAGCACTAAACCAACTGAGTCACACTGGCCCAGGACCATCACCATTGCCCTTAACATCTTTGTGAAACTTGAATCTAAATCATGTCACATCCCTGCTTAAAATCTTTATCAACTTCCACATTGTCTTCAGGATAAAAATCCAAATTTTTTAACAGCCTGTAAAAGACTTTACACAATCAAGCCCCTCCCTATTTGCCTTTAGAGATTTCTTTCAGTGCCTTCCAGCCTTTGATCCAGCCATCCTGAACTATTTCATGTTCCTTAAAAGAAGTGTGTTCTCTTTAAACTGAGGCATTACAAAATGTGTTTCCCTCCTTTTCACTGAACAGGATCCTAATAATCAAAGTCAGTGCAATACCATGCCCATCCCGGACCTCCCTGCTCTAAAGCAAAAGCCTCTATGAGGTTTTCTCATATCAGCCTGTGCTAGCTTCTATTGTAGCATCCATTACTTTATTTTTGCAATTATCTAATTATCTGTTCCTTAGTAAACAATAGTTTTGAATCTACTGCTCCAAGCAGTCAGTTCTCTGTTCTCTATTTTTTGAATGATCAAATGAAGCCCTACCACTTCTATGAAATCTTCCCTGACCAATGTAGCTAATTGCAATCTCTTATTCTAAATCCATGATACAATGTTTATTATCACTCCAAGGTTAGTCATCAGTGCTGCCTAGCATACTTCTCTTCCTCAACCATTAGGTATCCTTCATCATTTCAGTGATTCATCTTTGATTTTGCCTTCAAGGGTGATAATTAGTTAACATAATCAGTGCTATTAAGGAAAGACTAAAATAACCCCAATAAGCTACTTTCTCTATTCAGTAACAAACATTTCAGAATGGCCCGTTTTAGGTTACTAACTTGACATTTTCCAACACACCATGCTCTTTGGGAGCCCCATGACTTGTTAATGCTGTTCCCTTGGCCTGGAATGACTTTCTTCATTATGCAAATACCTGAGCAATGAAGGTAGTTGCCTCTTGGTTACTACCTATAGAATGGGAATTAAAACATTCTTCAATTGTGCTGAACTCCAGTTCCAGGCTAGACTCTGGGGACCCAGACTCATATGGGAAGAAACTGGACTGTCAGGAAAGAGAAAAGCACACTGAGACTCAGAGGAACTGCACAAGGCAGAGGTACCGAGGCATACTCTCAGAGAGGGTGGGCAACTGAGTGTGCAGCTGGCTTTCTCAAGTGAGCGAAAGGGCAGAGGGTAGGGTAGGAACCAGGTGGATGGGAACTATGGGGGAGGGGGAGGGGAGGGAGAAAGGAACAATTGTAATAATCTGAACAATAAAATTTTATTTTTTAATAAAGAAAAAAATAAAATAAAATAAAATAAAACATTTAGTTTCTCATCTCCCTAACTAGATTATGAGTTCTTTAGAGACCAGGACCCAATCTTATTTCTCTTCATACTTCCTTTACTGAGTACAATGTCTGGAACTAAGATAGATAGATAGATAGATAGATAGATAGATAGATAGATAGATGATAGATAGATAGATAGATATGTACTTCATTTTAAATGAAGGGATGTAGACACAGGAGAAAATATTTTGGGTAGGTAAGTTATAATGATATAGTTCCTAACCTATATAAATATATCCTTATGGTTTACTTAGCTGCCCTGATCCTAGGAATATTCTTCAGAGTGTATTTAATTCCTTAGGTTCTTCCATTTATCTCTCCTAGCTGATGGATATAATCTTTCTTTCTCTATCTCGCCCCCTCCCCCTCCTTTAAATATATTTTTATTGATTTCAGAGAAGAAGAGATAGAAACATCAATGATGAGGGAGAATCATAGATCGGCTGCCTACTGCACACTCCCTACTGGGGATCAAGCCCACAACCTAGGCATGTGCCCTTGACCAGAATGGAAGCCAAACCCAGGGCCCATCAGTTTGCAGGCTGATGCTCTGTCCATTGAGCCAAATCTTATGGGTTACTCTCAATGGTGTTTTGAGGGTCTTGTTTAAAAATTCAGTTTGCATTTCAGCATCACAAACA